ATCGGAGCCTGGCGCATTCTTCCTGTGTGTAGCGCCAGGCCCCTTCACACCTTGCGATGATGATGATGTATGTTTGGTCTGCATTGCGACATTGACTGGTCTGATCATTGGTATTTTAGCCTTCCGCTGTGCTATCCTGTACTATGTGAGAGAGGTCGGTTCTTGTTGTGGTCTGTACCATTACGGTATGCAACAGTGAACCAGAGGAGGCAGAGGGGAAGGATGACGAACAGCAGGAGGAGATCAACGAAAACGGGAGGAGGAGGAGATTGGGGGCCCTCGGGAGGAAGAGGCAGCAGCAGCGAACGAGGAGACAGAGGATGACCACTGGGAGGACGAGGAGAAGCAGGAGGAGGATGAGAGGGGCGAGGATGATAACAAATGAAAGGAGTGGCCGGAGGAGTGGAACGAGGACGGGGACGGTGAGCGCTAGGAGGAGTGGGAGGATATAGGACGATGAGCGGAGGAGGACTAGTGGGAGGAGTGGAAGAGGAGGCGGGGAGGACGAGGAACAGGATGACCGAGCTCCCGCCCCTCCTCCCACTTGTCCTTCTGCTCCTCCTTCTCCTCTTGCTCCTCCTGCTCCTCCTGCTCCTCCAGCTCCTCCCGCTCCTCCCGCTCCTCCTCCCATGCCACGACGAGGGGACGAGAAGCAGGAAGAGCTAGCAAATGAGAGGAGGAGAAGAGGGAGGAGGAGGGGGAGGGGGTCAAGCAGGAGGGGGAGCAGAGGAGGAAGTAATGGAGGAGAAGAGGGCGGGAAGAAGGAGGTGAGCAGAGATGAGGATGTGAGGGCGTAGCAGGGGTGGCAGGAGGAGGATGGGTGGAGCAGGTGGCATGAGGAGGAGGAGGTGGCAGATGAGGAGTGGGGGGATGGGCCTTTGTGCTTTTTTTTTTTTTTTTTTTTTTTGAGAGAGAGAGAGAGATGATTGTGCTTCCTCTCCTGTTTGTGCGACCTGGCAGGAGAGGGGGGGTAGGAAGAGGTGTGGCGCGGGCGTAGCCGCGGCGGGCTAGACTGCCCTCCATTCTATTAGTTAGTGCCACTTAGTGAAGTTAGTGGTGAATTATTTATCGAGTGGTAAATTGTTTTTTTCAAGAATATTCTTTTAACTGTCATCATCCATAGTTATAGTTGTATAAAATATGGTTGTATAGAAGAAACTCAATTAGATTATATGGTCGCAATAATTGTTCCAAAAAAAATATAAAAAAATCCTGTTTAGTCATATTTATTAATTTTATTTAGAATGAATTTCTAATCAGATTTTCATAACATAGAAATAGAATATATACAATACAAATATTCTAAGACTATTCTATATACTATTCTACTGAATTCTATTACTATATTCTATCAGAAAATATGAAAAAATGATTTAAAAATCAGCATTGGGAAATAGATGCTGGAAACCAATGGTGGTCAGCCAGGGGCGGGATATGAGGGTTAAGTGACTTCAGTTCATACACAGACTCTCAGGCATGCATACTCAAAATATGCACAGTCAGAACAAAATCAGGGCATACTCACACTGGGTGGTGACTAGATGTAGGTGCTTACTACCTAGCTATATCGGACTGTAACAATATGCAAATTGACCCAAAAGGTAATAGTGTGAGTTGCCCTCAAATTGCTCAATGCAGTTGGAGTACTGACCTGTGTTAAGCCTGAAAGTTGAGCCTGAGTCAGGGTCTTGCATTGAAGACAATGTACAGGATGTTGAGAATTAAGAGGAACTTGTGGGACATCGTTAATGACCGTTGGACACCTCAACATAGACAGGCACCTCCTCAAACCCATCAGATGGTTTAAGGAGGCCAAACACAGGCCTGCCAAAATTACATCTTTGCAATAGGAAATAGCACGTCGCTGCCTTCCCACGAATAACTGGCTAATCAACCATACACAGCTGGACCCGGTTTCCAGCAGGAGTCACTCTCCAGCAATAGACCGGAGCCATCCACTGGGGGGTACTACTGGGGGATGATCATATCACCCCCCTGTAGTACAGCCAGTAGATGTTGGGGGGGAAATAAAAATAAAAAGAATTTAAAAGAGCCTGTCAGCCTGAGTCTCTTTTTTTTTTTTTGTGCCTCATATCAGAAAGTGAAATGCACTGAGAGCCTAGGATCTAGCAATGACGAAGGTGGCAACAACCAGCAGCATAAGTGCAACATTCACAAGGTGTCAATGTGCACGATGCAAAGAGTGAACCACGAGAAATCAATAACAACACATTCGTATCATTATCATCATGGGCTGGGAAGCAGCGCAGCGGAAGATTTAGTATCAAGAGGACATGTGGAGAACAACATGAAAGGGAGAAACTTCGGAAGGGCAAGACACTAGAAAGATTGCCCTTCCGCTCACACACATGGGGAAAGATCCATAGACATGCGAGAGAGAAGGGGGAGGGACATAGAGGTAACCAAGTCCAACCCAAGTCTGATCTCCGAATGTCGCACACAGCTCAATCCCAATGTAGAGTGTAAGTCCGATCTGAATGTCGTGTCCAATAAGGCAGAA